AAAAAAAAAAAATGGAAATAAAGTGTTTGTAAATGGGGAGGGGAGGAGGGGTGAAGGGAGGGCAGGGACAAGGGGAAATAATGAGAATCAAGACCTATCATGTAAAGTTACAGGATCCCAATAATGAATGCAACTGTATTGTATACCTAGATTGTACCAATAAACTCAATTTTAAAAAAAAGAGAGAGAGACATGATGTCGGGGCCAGGGATTTAGCTCAGTGGTGCCACCACCTGCCTCATAAGTGCAAGGTCCTGAGCTCAATTCCGGATACCAAAAAAGAGAAAGAGGCATGTTCTTTGTATTTATGATAAATTCATTGTAGGAAGTAGAACCTTAGTGAGACTTAGAATTGGTTTTTTCCGAAAGGAAGACTTTGTTGCATAATTTTATCAGCACATAGGTAAATGACACAGCACTTAGTATCCCATTGAAAAGAAAGTGCAAGCCTAAGTCTCGTCAAATTTACATTTCTAATAACAAATGTATAGGAAGTAGAAACAGAATGGTTAAATACTACCATGGAGGTATAATTACAAATTCAGACCTTGCCCAACTCTTAAAAACAACTGGTTTATTCAAATAAAGGACAAGAAAACAGATGGGAGGGAACTTAATGGACAGACGCATTGGAGAAGTAGTCAACCAGTTGCAACGAACAGGCCTAAATTAGGTCCTTGTTTAAACAAATTGTTAAAAAGACTTGAGGAACAGCTGGGGAAATTCAAATATTGGATGGCTATCTGGTATCACTAAATTATTGTTAATGTTTTAAGCAATATAATAATACTGTAGTTCTAGTCCCAAAAGTCCTTCTGTTCTAGAGATACACAGACTGACATATCTGTGGTCAAAATGAAAATAAGAGCACCTGACATCTGTGCTTGTGTAGACGTAAGAACCTGGGGAATGGAGCAGGAATGTGTGGTGGTGAACTGTTCCTGGGGAGAGAGAAGCACCCCTGGGAAGAGGTGGACTCCGGGTAGGCAGCACCTTCTCAAAGGACTAGCCGAGACATACATGGGACGAATGGGAGGAGCCTTAGAGGCTGGTGGGGCGAGTGAGGAAGGTGTGGCCATCTCACTCTCGGGAGAGGTGCACAGCAGAGAGGCTTGGAGGACAGCAGCCCCTTGTTGCCAAACGCCGGCTTCTCCTACGCTTTACATCATGTTGGAGCTTTGGCATGTACAGGGCGAAAACACACCCAGATTTAAATTCCAAGCAGCCCAGTCCTGAAAGCTTGAAAGACTCCTTTTAGATGTGTTGACAGTGATTTAATCAGCAGATGTCACCATGTAATCCTTGGGAACATCCCTTCCATGTTGCCTCCATTTGGGAGAGAGAGAGAGTGCTGCTGGCGTTGTAGCATAGAAATATTTATGGTAATTTTGTATTTTGTTTAATGAAACTCATCTTCTCTTATTCCCCTGCTACTGAAAGTATGTCTTTGATTGAGCACTCTTGCTCTTGTTTCTGTTTTTCCCCAGCATCATTGACAAAGAAGTTTCATTAATGGCAGAAATGGACAAAGTGAAAGAAGAAGCCAGTAAGTGACCCTCTTACCAGTCAGGGCCATGGACCGGCGCGCTCCCTGGTCAGAGGATGTGAAGATCTGCCCTGAGCTCCTGCCCATGGGCTCTGTCACTCCGGACAAGCCCCTACCCCCAGAAGCCCCGCTCACCTGGGGAGGACATGCAGCACCTGCCACACCCTGGAGCGTAAATACGATGTGTCAGCTGAGTCTTTTAAAGTCCAAGGGAACTTCTGTGCACAAAAAGAACTTGTGCTTAATTGGCCTTTAAATGACAGCTAATTTAGTATTGGATTTTCAGGTACTGGTTTTTAAGCCTTCACAACTTATTGGACTTGCCCCCTTACTCACACAGTCGTTTTCACTGTTTTCTCTTTTAGTTTATTAAACTCCAACTCCCCTAAAATGTAGTTCCATTTGAAGCTTAATTACTTAAATTCCCCACAACATTTTGAACAACATCTGTACTTTTAATAGGTCTGATGTTTTTCAAGCACTTCAGGCACCTGACAAGGCAAACTCAGAAACCTAACAAGCAAAACACTCCTAATCCTTTAAGCAATGTGTAGAAGATTCATAATTCAAATTTAGAGATTACTGAATATGGTTTTCTTAAAACACTATAATTCTGTTTACAGACTTCATAAAATATGCTAACACCTGCTAATTTAAAGCCAAAAAAGAAAACTAATTCCGTATTTTAAATTGAAATCATGTTAGATTGCTTAATATACCAAATTCCCCGTTAAAATAATGAACACACCCAAATTATCTGATGGTGGCAAAACTTCTCAGTTTCACACAGTTTGAGAGCATGCTGATCTGAGGTCAATCTGTTTCATTTCCTCCCTACTGTGTGGTCCGGTGTGTGTTTGGTGACGTCTCTAAGTGAGTAGCAGCCTGTTCCCCTCTCGCGAAGGCTGAGACCCACACAGTGGAAAGCATGGCCGGGTGGACAGGTGGAGCCTGCTCACTGCTGAATCCATCCTGCTCTGTCCACGGGGCCCTGAGACCCCAGTTTCACAATCCTTGCTTTCTGCTTTTTAAGTTCTTCACCTTTACCCAGATTTCTTCTCACAAATTGGATGAATAGCAGTCTGCACCCCCAGCCGGGTTTCAGAAAAGTCTTTTCCTTTGGCTGCAGTGTCTCTTTTCCCAAGAATGAAATAGCAAGTCAAGTTCTTCACTCTTTACATTTTTCTTCTCTGTATCTTAGCCACTTTATGGAAAAGCTGTCATTGCTTTTGTTGTACAGTTTTCTAAATATTTTAAACATTTGAAAACCAAAACACAGTAAGATTTATGAAATGAAATGTTTGTGGTCCAGAGTGGAGCTGAGGAATATCTGGGTAGTTACACACAGTCCGTCTGATTGTGAAATTGTCTCATTCTTATGAAATTTATTGATTCCTTCAGTAAAAGTGTGCTGTATATATGGCTTGAGATTTTCCGATTATAAGAACAGCTCTCAGTGGCATGTGCTCATGATAAAAGTGCTAGCAATCAACACAGACACAGTGCTCTCCAGGACTAACACAGAAAGTCACTTTCTCAGAGGGCACAGAAGACTCAGTTTTCCTGCACTTACTCCTCTTTCTAGGGACCGTCTTGGGCTGCCAAGATCTGTGGGATTCGGGCATTGCTGGAGAGCACCCTATTTCCAGACCCTTCGCTGTGAGCACTGGCTGTGCCTCCTTGCTCACCGCCCACTGTTGGAGGGCAGAGTGGACAGCACAGACATAGTTGTGGAGCCATCTCCCCAAGCCTGGGCTCCCTGAAACTTCAAACTGAGTGGCAGGTCCTCCCAGTGTCAGGAGTTGGTGCTGTGGGGCCCAGGTCCAGAACAGCCCCCGGGAAGCCAGTTTGCAGGATCAGGGGTCAGACAGAACTGAGTCCAACGTCAGCCTCTACATACATCCTGTGTGACCGTGAACTATTCTGCTAACCTCTCAAAGCCCAAGCCTCTACTGGAACAGGAATAATGCCTATTAGGAGGAGTTGCTGTAAAGAAAAAATGAGAAGATGCACACCAGAGGCATAGCACAGTGTGTGACACTGCGAGCAGTTTGCAGGTTACCCCGTATCTGTATTACAACACAGTGCCAAGTGACAGCCGCCTCCCCAGGGTGTGCCTGTGTTAGCCGTGTCTCCTTCACATGGACAGAGCTGTTGAAGGAAGTAACCCATGAAGCACAGAACGGCTTTACAACTGCCACTTTACTGCAGATCCATGCTCTCGAGAGTTTTTTTCATGTTTTTCACTTGCCGTACGTGGTATAAACCATGTTTCCTCCATCATAACATAAGCCCATATCCCCCAGGGCCCTAACAGCACTGAGGAGATTGATGGTGCTCCATAAATGTCTGTTAAATGAATTATCATAATCAATTTAGTGTCTGTAGATGACAGGATCCAATATTAGTGAGCACAAATGTGATTGCAAAGGGACTCTGAGGATAAACATCTCAGTATTTATAATAAGCATTTTGAGTGTACTCACTCTACCAGGCACGTCCTAAGTGTTACTCTGTTAGTGGCACAGTGATCCACAGGATGTGTTGAATACTGCATTTTACAGACCCAGCTGAGTGTGTGGCAGTGTCCTCTGCCTGCTGGAGGCTTGCATGGTGTGTCCTGGGGATAGAGTGTATGTTAGCAATATGTGAAGAGAAAGTCACCTGTATTCACAGAAACACCGGCATGCTGTGTAGTACTATCACAAGAATTTTTAAGCAATTTAAAACTCACCTCTGCCCTGACACCTGCCCCCAGGGCCCTGTGCACACTTTTCTGCTCACAAGTGTTGCCGGAGAAGCCTTCAGATTTTCCATGGTTCAAGCGCCATAAGCCAAGCTTCAAATGTGTTCCAGAAACTCAAGGATTTGTGAATACTACAGAGAAAAGAGAGACAGCATCCCAGATACTTTTTATAACTGTGCATAAATAACACTCCGTCCGACATGCAGGGAGAGCATAAGCTGTGTGCACTGTCTCTGTCTCCCTCTACAGATTTCTGAGAAGACGGTGCTTTCGAAACATACTTATTACTCCATTTTAAACTGCAAGATCAATGAGTCTTAAGATCTGGTCAGGTTCTGTTTCTGCTTTTTGTTTCTGTAATTAATGTGTTTGAGGTGAAAATGCTTGCCCCTAAGGGATATTGGCTTTTACATCTCAACTTTTAAGGCTTTTTTTTTAATAAGGCTTTAAAATGTTAATGAGACTGTATGTAAAGCTCATCCCCACACTTGCTGATGTGAAACATTCATTTTCATGCACATTTGCATGAGCTTAAACTCAGAAGTTACTGGTGATCTTGCACCTGCTTTCCCATTTTAGGGCCCATTTATATCTATTTCTAAAAATCTTCTGTTTGGTGTGAATGCCCAAGTTCTACATAATCAAAAAGAACAATGACCCCTAATTGTCGCCAGCCCTCCAAACAAGCCATCAAAGAGTCAGATCTGCTTAGTGTGCAGTCACGCAGGGTCTGCTGACCCCCACACTAACTGCTTTTCACGGCTGGGTCTTCAGAACTTACTTTTTTATCTTACTTTGCAAAAGAAAACTACCTCATCATCTTTTTACTCAAGCATCATTTTCTTGTGCTACAAACTTTAGTCCCAACTTATGTTGAACTATAATACCAAACAAATAACCAGTTAAAGGTATGGGACCCAGACATCCCTGCCCCCGGAGACAGGAACAACAATTCTTTAGATATTCATTCACTGAGTCCCTCATCAGCAACCATATAGGACACCTCCCATCTGTCAGGCAGCAGACACGAAGGAGGCAAAGAACTTATGGTGCAGTCTGCGCTGGGATCCTGCAGGTACCGTTAGGAGGTGAATGGGACTGGTGAGCACAGTGGCACCCTGGGCACAATGCACCATCTAAAATGGGCACAGCCCCTCAGCTGTACCCAGTTGTTACCACCTAGGAATGCTGGCCAGCTGTGCCCAGAAAACTTAGTATTTTGCAAGACATCTTTCATATGGAATTTCCTAATTTTGGAAGGTGGGCACCTAATTTGTAAAAATAATGTGTGGGCTGAAAATCACAGTGGCCACCTTTTGTCACCTCTGGTGCAGCTGAACAACCTGAGGCCTCATCAAAAGATCAGAGTTCCTCTCACCCTTAACCTCTCATGCCAGCTCCTCCAGGTGCTGGAAGACCCCAGGCCCAGGTCACATGTCCGTGTGGCATTACAGATGGGGTAGGGAGTTCCAAGTCAGCAGCCAAAGCATGGCCAGAGCAGCTCAGCGAATGGGATTCGTGAGTTATAGAGTGTTTACTGCATTGACTTCTCAGCATCGATATTAGCATAAAAATATCATATGTCTCTGTCTCTATCTCAAGAATGGTTTATGGTTCGTGAGGAATCAGCCCCTGATTGATTTTTTACTTCTTTTCAGATGTTTGAGATGACTCATGGACATTTTATAGTTAAGAGCTCTTAAAATCAGAAGTGCTCTGTGGCTCTGCATGTGTGCCAAGTCTGGTTTAATAAAGCAGTTGGTCCTTGCTCAGTAAAGAATACAACAGGAGTTGAGTATGCACATCCTCTTAGATGGGTTCCTTGTTTCTTAGACCTTTGCTTGCTCATCCAAGAAAAATGAAAGCAAGCCATACATGATACATTGGAGAGCTCCAGCTCTATCTATTCAAAGACCAAACTTCATATTTTGGTCTTACCCGATGTGTTTTATTCATTGCTCCTGTGCTTCATAATCTTTGGGGAAATATATACACGGGTTAACCTGTGAGCTACATCTATCTGAACATTCACTCCTCTGACAGAGATGTGAAAATGCAGTGCCAGAGACCTGCACAGCATCTTCTCTCCGTGTGCAAATGTTAAAGAGTACGCACATCCAGTTCAAGCTGGCTTGACTTGCTCTTGAAATTTTTCAACCCTTTTAACAAAGGCGTAAGAGACTCTGTTCTGGAACTTCTCTCTGCAAAATGGAAATCCAGCTGCCACACATCAAAAGCAGAGGTGTTTTTCACCTCACAAAAAGCTAATAAAATAAAACCTTTATGTCATAGTCCAGTAGCACAGCTAGTTGCCCTAAGTGAGTGTGTGTTAAAATTAGGTCTGATGCTGCCAGGATTCAATGGTACAGCACACACAGAAGGGTTTTGCTTAGTGGGCACCCATCTGTGTGTATCAGATTGGACTTTAATTCATCTTTTTTCAGAGCTGGGTGTTCTGAGTCACTCACATTAAAAAGTCCACTTAAATCAAATGAGATCAAATCACAGTGCAATAATGAAGACCGGTGAGTATGTAACCCTGAACCAGCTAGGTGACCAACTCAGTAAACCTAGTCTGGGCCAACAGGATGTCAGTCTGTAGAGGAAGAACTCGTTCCAAGAACTGTGCTCATTCGTGTGTTTAGCTCTCTGCCCTAACATTATCCTTCTTATTTGGCAGTGGAAATCCTGACTGCTCGTCAGAAGAAAGCAGAAGAACTGAAGAGACTTACTGATCTAGCCAGTCAGATGGCAGAGATGCAGCTGGCCGAACTCAGGGCAGAAATCAAGGTCAGTTCTGGAGTGGCCCTGCCTGAGCCCTATGCCGAAGGTCTGAGCCCCACCACGCTTGTTTTGCATCGACGGTACTGTTCTCTGTGAGGGGCTAGCACCTCACAGCCAACCGTCTTTACAGGGTAGAAACCGGGAACGCAGAGGGTGAAGACCCACCTACTCACTGTATTTGAGTATAGTATGGTTCAAAGGGTTATATTATCACACAGGAAAAGAACCAGCTCTTTCCTTAGGCGGTGGGACTAATCCAAATATGGGTACTCAACCATGGATTAATGCTGGCGTAGGAATATTATTTTTATACTATATAATTTATATTTATATATGTAAACACGCAGGAGTATGAACTTAGCACACAACAAGGATTATGAAGTGTGCCATTTGTGAAGACTTTTTTTCCTTTACCCTTTCCTTGCTTAATTGCTTTTTTATTAAGATTACTACCCACAAATGTGTATAAGGTGTGATGAAAATGTATTATTATGTTTAAATTTTTAAAATTAATTACAGCAAAGGAGACATTGCCGTTCATCCCCCTCCTAGCACTCCCCCTGCTGTGAAGATATTTAGCCCAGCATTCCTCACGTTCTGAATCAGTTCTGGAAGTCCTCTGCATGTGTCTGTGAGGCGTGACCGGAAATAGTGTGTGCTGCTGTGGAGCACCAGCGAAGAGCAAGGCAGGCTCACAGGATAGTGCGTCTTCACCCACCTCATTCACGGGATCTGGCACCATTTGACCCTTGGCTCTTCCCCAAAGTCAAAATGACTATGAAAGATAAATGCTTTAAATGCACTTAGGACATCAAGGTAGCCACAGAGCACAACCAAAGACGGGAAAGAAGACTTCCAGAACTGCTGCAGAACCTGCAGGAACCATGGGATGAGTGTGTTGGAACTGTGGGGAGCTGTAGGGGGATTCGTGGCAACATGTCATTTACTACCCAGTGTTTTAAAATGTTTGAATCTCAACCTTCATTTATGAGATACCTTTCATTACAAGCAGCAGAAACTGACCTTGTCCAACAAGAACATGGAGAGTCTGGAAGAAAATCGAGTGCAGGTCACCTAAGTGTAGTGTGATCTGAAGACTTGGGTCTACAGGGAGGCAGACACACACACACGGGCAGCTCCTGGGCACGAAGGGAGCAATGCCTCGCTCTCCGTCCTGGCACCACGGCAGTGAGGGCCCTCTAAGCGTCGTTAGCCCTTGTGCCACCCACCCCTATGCAAATCCCTAAAGAGAGGCTCTGAGCGGCCTCCACGTGGGTCCCACTCATCATTGACTTGAGGCCCAAACCCACCAAGATCTCTGTGGATCTTTCGACTGGCATTGGGGTACAGGAGAAATGGCAAGGCCAGAAAAGCTATTTAAAACACGGTGGGAAGCTGCAGCTTATAAAGTCCTCTTCTCCTCACTCACCCGGTATACCGCACACGCTTGCACACAGACACGCACAGGACTTCTAGGAAACTAAGAAGTTTTAAGACATCAGCGCTGCAAGCCTCGGAAGAGAGTCTGCTCAGTGGGGTGTGACACTGGCTGGGTGTGGCAGGAAATGGCTTTTCAGCCTGGGGAGAAAGCTGGTACCGGAGCTCTGGAGGTGCCTCACTTCTCACCGGCTTCCTCACCCGCTCCCGCCCATGGCAGTGGCCCCCTAACTGGGCTTTCAACCCCGCCCTGCCTCCCCAGCCACCTGAGCCAGAGTTTACCCTCAGGAGACCTGGGCTCCCCTGCTGTGGCCCATCCCCACCGCTGGACTCCACACGGATTCCCACTTTCGTCTCCCCTACGTCTCCAGTGTGGTGGCACAGCACGGAGGAACAGGAAACTGCAGCCTCCTGGTCTGTTAGTACCCGCTCCTCATGCAGGTTTCGCTGCAGCCTAGAAAATCACACTCATCATCAGATGGCAAGGGGCAGCGCTCCGGGGGGATGCCGTGCAGCCCAGCTCCCTGGTCTGCAAAATGGAAGTGATAACAGTGCTGGCTTCCTAATAACTAGATCAGAGGCAAATGACACTGTGGTGAGAATTTGGCCGGTGTCTGGATAGCATTCAGTGATTTTTTAATGTTCCAGCTCAAATGCTCCCTCACATAATTTCCTGTTCCTCTCAGAAGGAGAGCTTTTCTTCCTCTTTTTTATTCCCAAAGCATCAGCCACATTGTACCTTGTATTTAATGCTGTTTCCCCCCGGCCGTGTGGTAGGTAGACTCAAGGCGGGACTGAGTCATTGTTATTTCTGCATCCTCACTCTGTCATCTACATGTGGATCTTCATTTCAAACTGAGTTTTATATGAGTTGAAAAGAATCCTGTAACAGCACTTAAAATCCCACCATAGATGATGTGTTCTGGACTCTGGAGGCTTTGGGGGCTTCCTGTTTCCCTATGAAAACAGAAATGAGCGTCTAGGAAGGGTGACATGTTTTATCTTGGGGGTTAGTAACTTAGCAGGCCCTCGGCCCCACCCAGAAACCCCTGTCTGCCGAGATGCAGCTTTTGCTGCACTGCAGTTTCGTCCCAGCCTGAGCCGGAGAGAGGCACGTCCCGCGTGTGTGCAGGAAGGCTGTCTCGAGCCCCGGTCAGCCCTGGGCCCGACGTGGGGAGCAGAGAGGACAGGCCTGCGGCCGGCTGGGCCACCCACCGCGCGGCCCTGCTCTCCTTCTCTCCCTCAGCACTTCGTCAGCGAGCGGAAATACGATGAAGAGCTGGGGAAGGCGGCTCGGTTCTCCTGTGATATCGAACAGCTGAAGGCCCAAATCATGCTCTGTGGAGAAAGTGAGTTCTGCGTCCTTGCTAAGGGATTCTGCGCATACATGCTCGGCGCTGTTTGAGTCGGTGTGGGAATGTCAGGCGCGCAGTCCCCGGGCCTAATGTGAGGGCTGGAGCGATTGAAGGGTCCCTAGAGATGCCACTGCGCATCTGTGCGTTCCCAGGATTTACGAAGCGGAGCAGAGCAGGTCGGCTGGCGTACACCTTCTGCACATTTTGCCCGAGTAGCACCGGGCACAGCACCCTGTGATTTCAGCCCTGGTCCCTCAGAGCCATCTTCGGACTTCCAGCTGCAGCTGCAGTTGGGCAGGGCCTGCTGTCCTTCAAGGCCCCAGTACCCTGCGGCCCCCACGCAGGGTCCTCTCTGCCAAGAAGCAGAGAGACCATGAAAGAATTTGCCTGAGCCCTCAGCATTAGTCTTGTCCCTATTAAACCTTAATGAGGAACACCGGGGGTTTAGCTCCGTGGTTCCGCCGCCTGCCTCGCAAGCACAGGACCCGAGTTCGATCCCTGCCTTAATGAGGGCAGCTCATCTGCAGCAGAACTAGCTGCCACCAGCCCACCCCAGGAGGAGAGGCAGCATGGGTGTGGCCTTGAGGACAGCCACCAGGGGAGAGCAGGGAGCGGCCAGCATCGGCCCCCAGGCATGGGAAACTCAGCTGCCCTGCACCTTCTCACACTGGAAATTACTTTCCTTCTAAGTATAAAAGCTACAAATTTGATCTAAAGTTATCCAGCTATACTACATGGAACTTAACATTATTTTGGGGTCTCCTTTATACTTATTCCCCTATAACCCTCATATGATGACATCGTTGAGCACGTACAGTGAGTTCACTTTCGTCACTTCAGGAGAGTTGTAGACGTTTTCCACGCCAGTCTGTCTGACTGAGCATTTCCTTATGTAGAACTGCTGTAGTCCGAGCCTCTGGCTGTAGCAGTCAGTCCCTCCAGTTTCAGCCCTTCTCCACACACCTTTGGCACTTAGCTTACCAGGTTTTCTACTGTGCTCCTTCTAAATTCCTTTTTCTTTATATGCTTGCTCACGCTCTGTCCCTCTCTCATGAAAAGCCTGCCTGTGTGCCACTCTTCCTCCCCAGCAGTGCCCAGCTCCGGCTCACAGCTGAAGTTTAGTGCCCAACCGGGATAATGAGCCAAACGCTGGCCCTGCATGACTGTGGGGAGGCACAGGTCACCCGCTTCCTCCAGGTGCCACCTGGTGGAACAGGCTGTCCCTGCCAGCTCCTAGAGTCCAGCTGACGACAGCCAGCAGTCCCCGGGCCTGGGCCTGCCGAGAGCTTGCGGCTCCTGAACAGAAGCAGTGGCTCTGAGCTGAGTGTGGCTGAAGTTCCCTGGTTGTTTTGCACAGCCCCAAACCACTGTCACCCTCACCTGCACGATGGAGGGGCTGGACGCATGCCTCTGTCCTTTCCATTTCTAGCATTCCGTGATCGCACTAGTCACTCCTAATCCTCTGGTAGAACCCTGGGATTAAGTCTGATCCAGCAGAGGTAGTGGAGAAAATTGCTTTTAAGAATCAGTGACCATTTTAAGATTCAGAGGAAAAGGCCTTGCCGTCTAGCCTGACGGGTGCCATCCAGCCTGCGCTGAGTGAGGGAAGTCACACTTTACCCTCACACTGCGTCCCTCTGACCCGGCTCGTACAGTCACAGGGAGACCATCCCATCAGAGGCCACTTCTTTCCAAACAGCGGGAGCAGCAATAATAAATGCAGAGTGCGAGGCCTGCGTACAAAGGATGCTTGTGACACGTGTGACTCAGCCACAAGATCCCTGACCCTCACCCTCTCGTCCCCTCACTCTGAGTGGCTCTGCGCCCTCTGTCTGTGAGTCTGCCACAGCGCTGCTCCGGGGTCTGAGGAGGCACCTAGGAGGCCCGGGGACAGGGACCCGGGACAGCCTGCCTCTGTGGGCCAGCCAGGGAGCAGCCTCGGTAGCTCTCTTCTTGGGGTGCTCACCCCACAGAATGCTGTTTAAGCTGCTCACGTCTGTCTTGCTCGCTGCCCTTGCCTCCCAACCTGGATGGTGTGCCGTGGTCACTGCTCTGATTCTCACGGGGCCCCGAGATGCGACAACCCAAACTCCTCTCCGTGCTCGCACGGCTCTGGCCTCCTGACCATCCTGACGTAACACTGCGCCCTTCCCCACTGCAGTCTCTCATCCGAAGAACAGCTACTCCTCCCGGATGCCCTGCAGCTCCCTGCTGCCCCTGCTTAGTGCCCATGCCGCCACCTCAGGGAGACAGAGTGGCTTCACCCGGAAGTCACCCAACCACGGCAAGGGCCCCGAGGGTAAAGCTTCCAACCCAAGACTGACGGGCGGTCTTCCCAGCGCCACGGAGCCCTCACACCAGGCCTTGCCAGCCACCAAGCAGGTAAGCCACCCTGGGCCCCCGCAGACCTGGGGCAGGAAGGGTGTCCCCGCTGCCCTCCATGGGTACGTCTGTGCGTCCTGATTGTCAGTGTCCCACAGGGACACAGGAGCAAGATTCAGAACTGAGCTCAGTGTCGGAGAGGGAACATGATGTTTGTGTTTTAAGGCCATTTAATTCCCACTTAATGGTTAGTATATCAGTAAGAGGGCACCGGGTAAACTTCTCTTGGATTTCAGGAAATGAAGTACAATTCATTTCAAAATGACATTATTCATTCCTGTCTACTGAGACCTCTAAAGATACAGATTTCCAGGGGACAGTCTTCCGTCCCTCCTGCTTCTCACTGGTCCTTCGAGCTGCGATTTCTCCCCTGTGGTCGGCAAGAACAGGAAGTGGGACTTGATGGCACAGGAGTTGGCCCTGCAGTAAAGACATCTGCGTTAGTCACTTTTCTCATTGCTGAGACAAAATTCCTGACACCCAAAGTTGAAGCGGGAAGGTTTATTTAGCTCACAGTCTGTAGAGGTTTCAGTCCGTAGTCAGCTGGCTCCAAGGCAGGGTGGCACAGGGCAGAGGGGCAACAGAGGAGAAGCAGTTCATGGCGTCCACAAGGTAGCAGAAGCAGCAGGAGCCTGAACAGCATCTCCCTGCCCCTTTCGTCTCACTCGGACTCCCTAGGGTGGGTGGCACTCACGCCCATAATCCCAGTGCCCTGAGGCCCAGCCCCACCATGAGTCAGTCACACACCGCGACCCCGTGAGGCTTTGGGGGCACCAAGACACAAATCGTAACAATGCCTTTAACTCTCTTAGAGTCCCCAGCCTCTTCTGGACCCACATGTCCTCAGCAGCTCTCAAATACTACTTTGACAAGGGACATTTACATCTTTATAGCTTCAAGATCATAATCAAATCTGCTGCCCTCGTAATCTAAATACATCATCGCCTTTTCTGGTTTTTTGCTCATTATTAAACACCATGCTAAAATCAAGCATACTATTAGTCTATTTCTCTTTCACAGTTTTTTAAGGCAAAAGACAAGCCAGGGCTGAGGGTGTTGCTCAGTGGTAGAGCACTTGCCTAGCGAGCACAGAACCCTGAGTTCCATCCTCAGCACCACAAAATAAAACTTAAATTTTAAAAATAAAAGTGAAGGAAAGCAGATTGAATGCTGTGGAGTACATGCCTTTCCAGCTCCTGCTTTGGCGTTTCCGGTGATGACCTATACAGATTGAAATGCTCTTCTCTACCTAAAGCGAACACTGGGCCCAGGCAGAAGCCCATGCCGCCCAGCACAGCGCTCCGTGCCGAGCAAGGTTCGAGGAAACCAAAGGCAGCCTGCGTGTCCTGAGGACTGGAGACCTGGAACTCCACTGCCTCGGGCCAAGCCTGCTCCTGGGGTGCCGAAGCGCTTCCCTGGACACCACCTCAGGGCAGACTGCACTGCCAGTTCCTTCCTGCGCCCACAGGACCCCAGGCAGCACCAGGGCTGGGGTGGGGGGAGTCCACATTCACTACGCACGCAGAACCAGAGGCAGGAAGACAGCACTCAGGCCCAGGCCGATGGAAGGGGTGTGGGCCTGTGTCCGTGCTCTTCCCTCTCTGGGTCACGGGGCTTAGTGGGCCCTGAACCCATACCACCCAGGTGCAGTGCGCAGATCCCCACCCTCACACGCTTGCTTGTGACTGTCAGATCGCATGTCTCCGGGACAGAGGGTGGGCCTTGAGAGCAGGCCTGTGTCCGTGTGGAATGGGGCAGCTGCACTGTTTCCAGCAGTGGCTCCTGGGTGAGTCCCTCAGACTCATCCCCTTCACACAGACAGAAAGGCGCGTCACAGCGACGCTCGGGGCTTGTCGTATGAATGACACAGTACTGGTGAAGCCTCTTCTGGGCCTGGCCCTCGGTGCCCAGAATCCCCTGCCGGATGGGGACAGATAGGCTTAATCCATGACTTCCTTGCCACCGTCACGCTCTCAGCCAGTGCCTGGCAAGAGTGATTTCTCAGTACAAGTTTTCAAAATTGGTTGTCTCAGAACTGCAAAAAGTGTACAGAAAGAACTACTCACCCACCTCTGTGAACATATGTGTTACCACACATTCCACACAGCACCAAATTACATCATCTCTTATTTTCCCTGGGTAATATTGCTGAACTATAGTATTTCTTTTGAAATAAAATAGAAAAACTGCTGAAAAAAATTACAGGCAGAATTTTACTTTTTTCTTCATAAATTTGATTAAAATTCATGCACATAATCTGTACAGAATGTCTTAGAAATCTTCAGGGTAGAGAGCCATCGTTGCCCTCTGTCCATTTTGTTTTATACGTATTTTAAACATTTTATAGGCTCTATTTGGCCTAGTGTCTTAGTTATTTTCTTGATGCTGGGACACAAGACCCAACACCCATAGGTTACCGGAGGAAGGGTTTATTTCAGCTCAGTCTACAGAGGTCTCAGTCCATAGCTCACTCCAAGTCAGGATGGCTGGGCAGAGGGCATCGCAGAGGAGAAACGGTCCATGGCAGGGCAGGCAGGAAGAGCAGCCGTGAAGGTGGGAGGGAAAAGTGCAGTACTGACCGCCCCTCCCACCAGGCTTTGCCTCCAACATCACACCCAGCTAGAACCCATCTGGGGACTCATCCAGTACCACCACCCATGACCCTGCACCTCAGAGTGCATGAGGCTTTGGGGGGCCTACGTATAAATCGTGACACCTAGTTTTTCTGTTGCCTCTGGCTTGTTAATCTCAGTAATTTTCTTGTAGTTCGCTGATCTGACAGTCCCCTGTGTGTTCCAGTCAGGGATCGCGCCCGCTTGGCCTCATCTGCATGCTGTCATACTCTTCCAGGGTCCAAGAAGCTCTCCTGTGGCTTGGAGATTGGCTTCCCTGATGCCTGCAGTTTGCTGGCATCTAGCACGTCTCTCTTCTTTTGCAGAATGGACCTTCCAGCCAAAGGCGGAGATTTAATCCCCAGTACCATAACAGCAGGCTAAATGGGCCCCCTAAGTCGCAGGGCGGCGGTAACGAAGCTGACCCCCTGGCAAAGGGCAGCACCCGACACGAACACAGGAGACAGCCGCACAACAGCTTCCGCCCCAAAAACAAAGGTGGCACCAAAAATCAAGAGCTCCCCTTGGGGACTAAAACCCCCGAGGCCCCAGCCCATCCTGAAAAGCTGCCACGGCGAAGACAGCACGCTGCTGACAGCTCTGAGGCCAGGCCTTTCCGGGGCAGCGTTGGCCGCGTCTCGCAGTGCAACCTCTGTCCCGCGAGAATAGAAGTGTCCCCAGATGCCGCAGTCCTCTCCGTCCCTGCTGTGACGCTGGTGGCCTGAGTGGGGAGAGAGCAGTCCTCACTCAGCTGGGTTCCCTGCCCCAGGTGCTGACCCAACTCGCTGCCAAAAGAGAAATCAGTCAGAATATACAGGCCCCATATGTTATGTAACCCTTGTAATCATTTTGACTAATTCCCGTGCCCAGCTCTGCTTGCTTCGTAACCTCCATGGCTTTGCTTGACCTGTTGGCATTCCCTCTCATCAAGACTGCACATATAGCCAGGCAGTACTGACCGCTCATTAGGAGTCTGAGATGTGGCTGGAGACCTAGGCCGTAGCCCTGATGTCCTCCACAGATGGTCGTCTTTAGTGATTTCATGTGGAAACAAACCCTTAACCAGGAGACAAACGCGGTCTGCTGAGACACACGCGTTTTTGTAGAATTTCACATCTCGTGTTTTTCTGGAAAAAAAAAAAAAAAAATATATATATATATATATATATATGTATATACAGATAAATAAAATTAAGATCATTTTGAAGCAGATGTAATTTTTAAAAAATTTTCATCAGTATTGATAGGAAGCAATAAATATGCAGTCATATTTAGCCATTAAAAAAACAATTTGAAAGAAAAATAGTTTAAGATCAATGTAACACAAAGTAAGCTTAAAGAAACCTATAAAATGAGATTCGTCTTTCAGCAGGCTTCAGTCGCCATTGTATATATATATATATATACATATATTGCTTTATTTGAAACAAATTAAAATATGCTGCATTTGACACTTGACTTGTTTCTTTTATTAATGCCTGCCTTTTTACCAAATGTTCTCTGTAGTACTTTCCAGAAAACGGTGTCTAGTGGTTTCCACGCACAGCTCTTGGTAGCGTCCCCCGGAGTACAAATACACACTTTCAGAAAAAACGAGACACTTCTGTTATGGACAAGGAGGCTGCAGACCTCAGCCATAGCCACCACACAACTAGAATCCTGGGGTCCAAGTGACAGACCTCAGCTCAACCTGGCTTAAACAAGAGAGAGCACTTAGTGGCTCTGTGATGGGAAAGTCCAATGTCACAGCGTGCCTCGGGGTCAGCTTGCTAAGGCTCCAGCCCCTTCCTGGTGATGAGCCCAGACCTCCCTTCCTCCCTGGGCTGCACCATACTCGGCAGGGTGCACTGTGCACCCTCCTGAGCCCCAAGTCTCACCTGCATGGTCTGGGGAGCTTTCACACAGGGCAGGCCTTTCTCCCAAGCCCGGAGGAGGGTCCCCGGCTGGAGACCTAGGCCATGCCAGTACCTAATGGTAGCTGGCTGACCCCAAGGAGTCAGAGCCCCGGGGGAGCCAGCACTCCAGCCTCCTGGACCTCATGGTCGCGCACACACCAAGCACAGGTGTTTGGCTGCAGTGACTGGCGCCCTGGTCTGCTGGTCACTTCCCACTGCAGACCTGCTGCTTGGCTCCATGTTGACCTGTGTCCTAGCAGCTCAGGCTCACTGTCTCCTCACAGCAGTCTGGCAGCTGCCCACAAGACACACAGCATCCACATCTCTTGCCAAGTGCAGGAAAATTTGCTTTCTACAGCACTGAGACCCAACAGGAATTCAGAGCAACAGGTCACATTCCAGGGAGGAAGGAAGAGTCATTCATCCGGGCTGCAACCTCTGTTTACTCCTGAGGCGCTGAATTTATATTCTAAACTCAGAAGGATTTCACACATTCAGTGTGGCACAATTTTGCTCACCACTGAAAGACCCCAATTTCAGCACCGTAGCATTCTTACAACTGGAAAAACAGAAGGCACTGGGTCAGGACCAAGTGCTCCTGACCTAGCCTGGGCTGCAAGCTGCTCTGGGTTAAGGCAGCAGGAGGACAAGCACCCCAGGCCATGGGAGAGAAGCACAGAAGGCTAAGTGTGCTCCCCTGAAGGCATTTTCCCTAGGCTTTTGCCTTAGACACTGAGCATGTGAGCATTTTCTAATTTGCATTTTTGAAACGGTCATTTAAATATTTTAGTGCCAATGCCAGACCCTTTAAGTACTCCCATCACACTCTCTCTCTCTCTCTCTCTCTCTCTCTCTCTCTCTCTCTGTGGTGGAGCAGTTGTGCAACCCTGGAGATCTGGGGGCACACTCTGCCTCTCTTTCAGATGTTTTTAACTCCTTTTAAAAAGCCAAGAGCTGTGGACACTTTAACCTCTCTACTAAACCGGCAAACGTCAGAAGAACGGATGGTGCTTTTAAGCATTTGTCCTGGAGGTTAGAACATTTTGTTTGAAGTTTGGTGACTTCAAAACTCAGCCGCACTGCAGCGCACAGGTCTCCCACCAGGCCACCTGTGAAATCCGAGCCCCTGCTCACCGCCCCCTGCCCACCACCCACCACCAGCCCAGGGGTTGGCCCCGCCACAGCAGGGCTCCTGGCCCGGGCGCCAGAGGTCCCCGAGCAGATCACACCGCAGTTTCTTCACTGCGCTAGTGACAGGTGTGGGACTCAGTGATGAGAAGCGCGTTAGAGGTCTGCTTGGTGCTTTTCCTAGGCTGGTGGGTGGGCGGCGCACTCGGCTCCCGACACCACCCCGCCTGGGACGAAGCTGCGACCCTCCTCCCTCCCGCCTCGCGCGCCACCTCTGCCTGCGCTGCTGTGTGGCGCCCTCGCGTGTCCAGCGGGGGTAGCACTTCTGTTTCTCAGCAGGCGCCTCGGACCAAACCGGCTTCGCAGGAGCGCAGGAAACCCCCGCGGGAGACACAGGCTCCGGGGTCCCAGATACCAAAAGCGAAGCAAGAGAAAAAGCCAATCCCTTACTCCTGAATGCTTAAGCAAACTATAAAACAGCAAAGGGGAAAAGAAAATTCAATAAGCGTATGTATTTCTCCCTCATTTTTCCCAAAGTAGTGAGCCATCTTTTTTTTTTTTTTTTTTTTTTTTTTGGTACCGGGGATCAAACTCCGGTCCTTGTGCTTGCGAGGCCATCTTAACTGCTCTAATTTTGCGAGGAAAAAAAATTGAAGTTACTAAGTCCCAGTGGTTCTCTTGTTACTGAGCTAAGAAATTGAAGCACGATTTTCATACCCTTCTTTTACATGACAAGGATCCTGTTTTTCATCTTTTCCCCTCTAACAAGCCTTTATGACTCCTAAGGAGGTTTTCTCCCTGCGTAATTTCAAGAAACACCATCCTGGGAGGCAGGTCAGCAGAAACCAGCTTCCTCTCCTGGTAGCAGCAGCCCCACCGCGCCCGCCTGGTCTCAAGTCCAGAGGCGTCGTGGGCTGCTCACCTGCAGGGCTCTCACAGTCGCTGGAGAGCTGCTGGGGCTCCCCAGCCCTCTGTCTGAACACTTCACTGGCCCAGGTTCAGAAGAGCTCCTGGTGCTCTCACAGTGCAAGTTCCACAGTAGAACTTGCTGTACACAACTTCCCCAGAACAATAAACAAATCCTAAGGCAAATTTATTTATTTGAAAAAGTATGTAGCTTTATGGCCCAAAACAAGTAAATGAATGACTAAAAGAACTGTGACTTCTCCAGAAAAAAAAACCTGTTAACAGCAGTTCTTGTTTAAAGTCACCTTATTCTCACTAAAGATACTTCAGTTTGAACTAGACCTGTCTCTTGAGAGCACACGCATTCTGTAAACGCCATCATTTTGTAGCCTACCCATCATTATCATGCTGCGCGATAAGCACTCAGCAAATGCTGATGGAAGAAAGAGAAAAGATCTGATACTCCAGGAACACTGGAGGAGATGAGAGAGCAAGGAGGCGAAGGTCCTGACCCTTGGCCACCTACAGGCAGCACTGTAGACATCTCACTGCCTTGGCTTTTCCTTGGGCCAAAGGAGGCCGGTACTCACACCCTCAAGGGGGCGCTCAAGAGTGGAGTGTGTGCACATTTGCAAAGCACTTGAACAGTATCTGGCACCTTCTGCAAGCGCCAGGCAGGAGCCAGTAACACAGAGTGACTGCAGGCGGAAGTTCTGTAAGTTCATCTGGGGAAGAAAGGTGTGGGGTAGGAACCAGTAACAGGGTTCACCACTGGAACAGGGAGGAAGCACAGCTAGAGGCCAAGCAGAGCCCCAAAGCTGAGATTTGGCCTCCCACCCACCAGAGCTGGAAGCCTCCAGACAGCCCTGCACAGCACCAGGTGGCTTTGCTCAGAGGTGCTGGGGACTCACCAGAGACACCGGTCAGGAAGCCACCCAGGGTGCTGTAGAACCCACGGTGGGCAAGAAGCTGCCTGAGTGAGGCTTGCTGGGCAGGCAGGAGCAGCACCCTGGGTACACACCCTGTGCCCTGCTGTGTCTGTAGTAACAACACTGATTGTAACGAAGCTGGCAGAAGAGACGTGTGCACAGGGGCAGCTGCAGTATCAAGCAGGGCAGTGAAATCTGGATCTGGGAGAGGAGGGGAGTGGGCAGCCAGTATCCCTTAGAAAGCATGCAGGGAAGGGGCCGGGGATTTAGCTCAGTGGCTCTGCTGCCTGTCTCACACACACAAGGACCCGAGTTCAATCCCCAGTACCAAAAAAAAAAAAAAAAAGGTATGTGGGGTCTCTGATAAGCGTGGGAGACAGCCACGCAGTGCTGGAGAAGCCACATCTGGCGGCTCCTGTCCCGTGCCAGTGACCAGCCTCTCTCGAGGCCTGCATGTGAGGCCAGCTTCATCTCCCACTGGCAGCCAGGCAGCTCAGCTGGCACTGTTTCCCCACCTGTGAGATGAGTGACTTGGGTACATCCACAGCGCAGCATAAGCACAGGAGAGAACATAGCTGATGAGTTTGCATTCGGTAGCTGCTTCATCAGAAAAGCAAACCAGATCTCTCCAATATTATCCCCACACCAGAGACACCACCAGGAGCAGGAGGAGAGATCTCTGGAGGAGCTGAGGCATCCTGCACTGGTCTCACCCTTGCTGTGACTGCCAGCGTCCATGCCCTCCTGCTCCCCACACACTAGCAACTACGGCTCAGAGACGGCCCCAGCCGGAGCATCAGCTCTCCCCAGGTACTTGGGAAAGTCTGAAGATGGCTTTGAGTGCTATACCTGGGGCAAAGAGGTGTTCCATGGCACTGCTGACACACTGCAGTGCAGGGCACAGCCCAGGTGAAGAAGGCCTGGTCCTGTGAGAGGCCGTGCTCTGGAGGTCCCCACCACCAACGTGCTGGAAGCCAGCCCCAGTGCAACAGCCCGAGTGAGGTGTCCAGACTTTGAGGCTCCAAGTCCTGGTGTCCAGGAGGGACAGGGCTGTGAGTTCCGAGACAGCTCAGCAAGGCCTGAGACAGGTGAAGGCCTTGGACTTCCAGCTTCCAGAAGTGCAGAAAATGATCTTGTAAGTCCCATCCCTGGTATCATTAGAGTGCAACAAAGACAAGACCGGGATATGGAGACCAGCAGTCTGCGTACCTGACCCTCTGGCTGCACCAGGGTCTCGGCCAGCACAGTGTCAATACCAGACCTCCGGGCCCAAAACTGGGGGACAAGGTAGTTTCTGATGTTCTTAAGCCCCTAGTGTTGTGCACCTTAGACTGAATTCCCAGGGCTTTTGAGTGGAGAGATTAGGATTGAACTCTTGGAAGAGCTGCCATTAAAGCAGAAAGGCTCACCATTTTAAGAAATCTTGGCAGAAGCAGCAATAGTTGCCTTTTCCCAACTTTAGCAAATATACTACCTTTTTCTTTCCATGGTCCTGTTTTTAAAACAAGTTTCTCTTCCAAGGCCCAGGCTCCCAAACTCCTACTTGCAGCTTTGCAGTATTTTACTAAAGTAATTAGGGCTTTGGAGGTGACAGAAACAAACAAAAAATATGAGCAGCAACATTATCAAATGACAAGTGGTTAAAGAGACACGTGGCACAAAATACCAACTATCGCTGTAAAATTTTACCTGTCTTCACCACAGCCTACATCAGAAACCAGCTATGGAGCAAACACCACGCAAGTGTGGGCTGCTGGGGCAGCACACAGGTAAACAGACAAATCCGCCCTCTGTGACCACGTTCACCGCGTCTCTCACAGGACCCCCGCTGGAAGTGGCCCCTTCAGGGCTGCTCCACTGGACAAGCTGTACCACGTGCCCTTCCGGAAACAGCTGGGGACATCTCTTCCTGTCACTGTGCGCAAGTGGCCAGACCCCATGCTTGGAAGCCTGCATATTAACTGTGGCCCTCAAGGAAGACCCAGCCTGCCACTCACGGGACTCTGCAACTTGGTAGAGTGCGAGGGAAGGCTCAGCATCAAGGAGGGGACAGATGCACCCTGACTGAACAGGTTCTAGTTAGTTTACGCACACAGGCACATCACCTGAAAACGCTTCTCGCTGCTGTAGCAGAAGCTCTCTCCATTCACCAAGTCACACTTCCCCATGAGTGTCTGACCAACACCAGAGCAAATGTAGATTAAGCTGACACAAATGTTAACCTACTTCCCTTGGCAGAGGACTCACTTCCTCCCTCGGCCTTTGTGCACACCCAAAATGCTGAGTAAATCAAGTTTCTCTGTCAGGTAAAGCTGGAGGCGCTTGTCAGCCAGTTCCAGACAGGTAATGCCCACACCCTACGTGCCCAGTATGAGCGCTCACTAAGGAGGTGACAGGGGAGTACGGGGAGCCCCGTGTCACCTGCCTCTCTGAAGTCAGAAGCGTTGCTCCACTGCTCTCAGACCTGGTGATGCCAGTCTCCAAATTGTTTTGATCAACTATTCATTTTATTGTCAATTCAATAACAATCAACTAATCTAGAACTGCTACTGCTCCTAAAAGATACATGTATGGTTACAAAAAAAACAAAAAACACCTTCTAAGGCACCTATAGGTCAGGATTGCCTGATTTCCTTACAGGTTTCATTTGTGCCTTTGCGTACATGGTGATTCCATGGGGCTTGATCCACACTCCTGGCGCATCTTGGTCACTCTCACTGCCCCTCCCCAAAGCCCTCCCCATCCTGCAGCCTGGAGCTCCTTGCTTCTCACCGTGGTTCCTTCACTCTTTTCACAGCATAGCAAGGTACGTTAGCCACGGCCAGCACCGTGACAGCATCTGTGGTCATTAGCACACCCTTCTTCTACGATAGAATCTGGAATGGTCAGAATCGGTTTCTGCACTCCCTCAAGATTCCTACCACATTATTGCTCTAAATTAACCTCGGGGTGTGTGGGATGGGGGTGCCGCAGCTGTCCCGGCCTCTCTGAAGCCTCCTGCGACCAGGCACATGGTGTCCGGCCAGTGGGATGTGCACATGGGACCCAATGCCTTGCTGTTTTCAGTCAGCAAACCCATAGGTGTTCACGTGTATCTGCTCCTCCTGTAAGAATCAGATCACAGGGCTGAAAGGCCTGCGGGACCATCTTCACATGGCTGCTGCTTCCTTGCACCCCATTTTCTTCATCTTTAAGAATTGGGACTGACTTCTTTATGTTGTTTTCCTAAAGCAAAAAGCGGTAAGCAAAATATATGAAGGCAGTCTATACATTATAACACAGGCAAACTGTCAGGAAGCAGAGTCGTCAGCAGGTCCCTCCTGCAAGCCGGCCGTAGGCTGTGACAAAACTAACCCGTCTCAGCAGGTAAGGCCAGTCACACATGCACATTACCTGGAATGGCAGAGGGCAATTTTTAAAACCATTCCACTTACAGTCAAGAGCTTCTGCGTGTCTTCTAATCTATGAAACTACCCAAACCCACCTCCCCACCCTTCCTGTTTCGTTTTGTTTTGTTGTGGTGGTGGTGGTTTTGGGATTTTTTGCTTTTGGAAGGAGGGTCTCATTATGTACCCAGGCTAGCCTGGAACTCCCAGCAATCTTCCTGCCTCAGCCTCCCAAGTGCTGGAATTACAGGCGTGCGCCACCATGCCTGGTTCAAATCCTTATTTAGAAAGCTTTTTGTTTTCTTTCTTTATCCAGGAAGAGCAATGGCTTAGGATAAGGTCCCACTCTCTCAGGTTTGCAGTCTGTTAACCTATGAGGGTTTTAGGATGAAAGATGCAAGTCATTCACATAATTTAAGTTAGCCCCAGCAGCCTGGCGCATCAAGCCTGCTGCTGACTCTGGCCCCAGGGGTGGTCGGTGCCCCGACCGCCTGCAGTTTCTCCACACTCTGCCTCACAGGGCTGGGTGCCCTCGGGGACGGCCCTGAACTGCCGGGAACTCAGAGATGGAGCCACCCAGATCACTCTTCCTTCCCAGGTAAATGTCCCGTGTGCTTCCGAGTGCAGAACGTCCTCACATGAGTCAGCACCTCACTGCTCCAGGCCAGTTCACACTAACACGGCCAGGAGGCTGCCCCGAACTCCCCATGTCCTTCAGTCTGCAGGTGCCTGGGTTCTCTAGAAGAGCATGTTTAAAAAATGACGGAGTACATACTCCACAGGAGAATGTCATCAGAGACGATCAACTCAACAACTACTTTTTATACCCAGATAAACCACCTATGGGTTTAATTATTTTGTACATTATCTGGACAAGAAAGCAATTTTGCCAACAGAAATAGAAAACCTATGTAAACTAACAAGCTCTCAAACTACTAAAAGGCTCTGAGGCGTAAATAAATACAGTCACAGAAAATGGCACTTTTTATGGAAAGGTTTTTCTTTATTTTGTAAGAAATGACGCTTGGAGTATATTTTCTCTTTCCAGACAAATTAAGCACAATGGTAGGCATTGAATGGAAAGGACCCTGCTTTAGGAAGTTAATTTTAAAGCAGAAATATGTAATCCAGTTACAAAATATAGCATGTAAGAACAAACAACAGAAGAGCCATGAAAAATAGCTGAATCCAAACACATTTAAAATATTAAATTCAAGTTATATGGAAATTTTGTGCATAAAAATCATATAATCAGAATGGCTCTTCAGTAGCTTAATTTTCGTTACAAAATTAAACATTTTCAACCTCTTCCAAGTACGTTCAAATTTTCACTATCCAAGGCCTCTCGCTTCCCGTTACAGGGCGGCAGGCCTCCCGCAGGAGTCTCGGCGCCCAGCTCCCTGGCTCCGAACCTGCGGCCCGGCGCTGGCCCGGGGCCTCTACCAGACGGACGGAGGGC